GAAGAGACCGGCCTCGTGCGAGCTCTGCGTTGAAAAAAAGAAGGTCGCTGCAACTCTGCTTTCTCCCTAAAACCAGGCATAGCGGCCTTTAAACCTAACTGAAAAACCAACAAAAACCAGGATGGAGACATATCATCGGCGCAACCGAAAAAGAGATAAAAAAAGATAAAAATAAATAAAAATAAATAAAAATTTTTGAAAATAAATAAAAATTTCAAAAACAAAATATTCAATACTAAAACCTACTTAACTTATCTCCGTTTTAACTCATTCGTATCTCTCCTATCTCTTTCTTTCTCACGCAAGTCAACCGGCCCACTGTGCAGAACACCCGAAACCCTGAACCGGAATAGTTTCAAAGACCCCACGCCGTACTAGTACAGCCCGCACACACACAACAAGTGCACGCTCAAACACTTTATAATGGTTCAAACAACCTGACGCCTAGGATTCGCGACCCCTCGAAGTCGGATTTCTCACCGTGGTCGCAATTCTGTGGCTACATGCACCTTGGGATTCTTTGGGGATCTTTGGGTGTAGGGCTGAGGGTTTTCTGCAGGGCTTTGGGCTCAGGGCCTCAATGTCAAGGGAGTTTGCGCAAGTAGAGTGTAGGCCCCAAGCCCCAACCGCTGAACCCCAAGGTTTGGGGAATGTGGTGGTCGATTCATTGTTTCTGGGAGGTGCGAGGAGCTTGTTGGTATTTCAGTACGGTTTCGGGACTGTCGGGTTCGCGTTGTTTTGCTTTCATTGGGTTTCCCAAAAGCGTTCTTAATATAAATGCGCGAGTCTTATGGTCATGGGTGGTTTGGGGCTCTGCGGGTAGAACTAGAACGGCAAAATCGTCGCTACTATGATGCGTATATCGGAGGTGGTCATCCGGAGTTTGAGTTGCACCATGACAGCAACGTCATCATTGTGGAGTGTTGTTGCAAATGTCGAAAGTATTAATTACTCCGGCTCACATTCTTCTGTTGCTCACGCAAGAAAGCTTCACTTCCATGTCTTCATTCACCCCGGCTGCTGCAGTACTTGTCCGCACTTGTCGTCGAAATGGCCGTTTGGGTTGAGTAGTCGTCTAGTAGGTGGCTTTCGGGATCGAACGCCAGCAAAGGGCGACTAATGTGTAGCAGCCAAGGCATGTGGTCCCATCCGTCGTGCAGAAAAGCGTGGGCGGCGCCGCTTCCGTTTTGATCGTGTAGCTGAAATGACTCCAAAGAGTCTGACCTCTCTGCACAGGTCGAAGTTTAGGTTCCCCAAAGCCTAACCTCACAATGGTTCAAAGCCCCCAGCTTCGAAGCGAGAATGCGCAACAAGTGTAATTAGTCCAAGCACGTGCTGAGCTGTTGTTTATTTGCCACATTGTGCCACCAGGGGCTCGAACCTATGCTATGAATTTACTATGTAGGATATCTGGCACAAGCAGAACTCGGACTCGGTTGTCCTGTGCTTGTGTTTCCTTAGCACATGTTTAATTTGAGAATTGCAAGAAAGCAATGACCCACCTCCCGCTGAAAGCCTGATCCGCAACAGAAATCAGGGCTGCCAGAACGGTGAAAATAATGACCTGCTCCCTCACACTGCTACGACTCAGGCTGTGCTCATCTGTTTTGCTTATCGATAACTATGCGCAGCTGGTCAGGCTTAGCCACGCTACACGGAAACTTGATTTCTTAGCTGCATCACAAGCATACAAACCCATTTCGGAAGCAAAAGTTGTGCAGAAAGGCCCTAAACCCTAAACCCTAAACCCTAAACCCTAAACCCTAAACCCTAAACCGGCTACACAAGCATCAGACAAGTAACAACCGGCTCCTGTACACGCCTCAACATCTCAGTAGGTAACCAAAGCCTCTCACTTCGCTCAGGGTTTAGGGTTTAGGGTTTAGGGTTTAGGGTTTAGGGTTTAGGGTTTAGGGTTTAGGGTTTAGGGTTTAGGGCTCAAAAACTAGGAAGTATTAAGGACACCCCTGAAAGGGAACCCTTCTTAACCCTACTTGGGGGTTTCCGAAAATAGGGGACCCTAATATAGTACCCCAAATAATAGGATCCTTATTATAAGGACCCCCAAATAAGGTACCCCCTATTTTCGGAAACCCCCACTTCTGGCTCTCTCAAAAGGGACGTTTGAGAGGGTCTATATCCCGAAGGGTCACCCTAGTCCTAACTCCTAGCTTGGAGCTTTAAGTCTGTAGTGTTTAGGGATTAGGGTTCAGGATCTTCGCACATAAGAGGGCTCTAGTATTTTAGGGTAGTAGGTTATGGACTTTAGCGGCGCGCTACGGTTTAGGGTTTAAGAACTTATAGTTTATGGTCCTAGATTCCGAGTCCTTAAAACAAATACAAAGTCGAGTAAAGCCTAAGCACCTAAACCTTTAAACCGGAGGAACCTTAGTGCAGTCGTGACTTGCCACCCATCGCTAGTGCTTGAGCGGCTTGCGCCAGCACAGCGCAAAAGGGTGTGCTTGGGGAGAAGGGCGCGAGGCTGAAGAAGTTCCGGATTGGAAATAACTACCAAATACTTCACACATTGTGTCACATACTCTGAAAACTATCATCATTGTTACTTGCTCTTGTCGCCATTAGTTGGTCATAGTTGGTTTTGGTTCTTCTATTGAAGTACTATGCCTTAGTGTGTTCTCAGCTTGTCCAATCCACTTTCTTGGCAAGCTCCCTCCCCCCTCAGTTCCGCAACGGGGATGCATGGAGATGTGGCCCTTGCGCTAGAGAGTCTGTCAGCAGTGGCGAGTTGCAAAGAAGCACCGACTTTTGTGGCTCGCCCCTTGACCCCGAATCATGCGACCCGACCCAAGCCCCTGACCCGCACACCAAGCCCCCCCCTAAAGGCTGCAGCCAAACCTATAAACGTCCCATAAACCATCAACTCCGAAATCCGGAAGCCCTTAACCCTAAACCCTAAACCCTGAAACCCTAAACCCTAACCCTTATTCCCAAGGCTAGACCCGCGGTCCTATGTTCCGAACAGACCAATAAAACTGCTTGAAACGACCTTCAAGCCCGAGAACCGAAACAGCTCTCTGTTTAGAGGAACCCTATAAGAACCCTTAGGGTTTAGGGTGGACTGAACTAATGTAGGAACCGAAATGAGTACCTCCGCTATTCTTCGGGGGTTCCTTATGATACTTATAGTAGAACATACCCCAAAACCCTATTCTAACTATTAAGGCCCCGACACACCTAAACCCTTATAGTAGCCCATCTAGAACCCTTGAAGCAACCCTTTAAAAGGAGTCCCCCAAAACCTTATTCTCATGATTCAGGCCCCTACACTAAGATTCGGAGAAGTATCAGGAGCGACGATCCGCGGCCAACTTGCGGATGGAGGCCTCTGCATTGGCGCCTTGGCAAGTTCCGGAAAGGGTTTAGGGAAGTAGCTTGAAGGGCTTAGAAAAGGGCGTTAACGGATTATTTTTTCCTGGGTGCTGTAGCGGGCTTATAGGGTTTTGTTGTATAGATAGGCGGTTTGAAGGATCCGGCTCTCAGGGTTTCATAGATCCCGCAGCCCTTCAGGGTGTAATGCAACCCTAAACCCTAAACCCTAAAGGCCTAAATAGTTACCTGAGAGCAGGCTCATCCGCCAGCGCAGCTCGTGCTCTCTATAACTGTGAGGTTGAAATGCAATGGGTTATTCTGCTGCTTCAGCCTCTCCAGGGTTTTTTTGGGTTACTATAAGGGTTTGGGTTCAGGAAATTACAGGGCTTTAGGGTGTTCCTGTAAGGGTTAGGGTTTAGGGCTTAGGGCTTGGGGATTATAGGGCTTATAGGGTTTATAGGGCTTTAGGGTGTCTCTCAGCTCGGTGCGTCCGTGGTCTGGCGAGCGGTCCTTTTGTCGTCTGGTTTGGAGCCTCACTTAGGGCCGAAAACCCTGAACCCTAGACTCTGAAACGTTCCTTAACCTTCCAAGACCTAGTGTTTTGTAGGTCCTTATGATAAACCCCTATATGGAATTTATAGGGACCCTACAAAAACAAGTTTCTGGTAGGTCCTTATTATAAACCCTAATATGGAAGGTACAGGGGCCCTACAAAAAAGGTAGGTTTCGGTAGGTTTGAGGTGGGTTTGCAGCTCTTGGGCTGGGATTCCCACCGAAATTCGGGATTTCTGCGGCAGCTTGCAGTTGGAAAGGGGACCCGCAAAACCCTATATACCCTAAACTCGCCACCTGTAGTTTCCTTTAGCCCTATAAACCCTAAACCCTAAACCAAAACCAAAAAAACCCTAAACCCTAAACCCTTAAAGGAACCTAAACCCCTTTAGGAACCTCCGAGAGATCCTTGGGGAGGCGCCTCCAGCTCCAAGTGAAGGCCACCGCCTACGAGCAGCGACTGCCGAGCGCTCCCCGGGCTGCTTTTGGATCCTGGGTTTAGGGTTTAGGGTTTAGCTTCATATAGAAGCCTAAGGGTTTAGGTAGGGTTTAGGGTTCAGGGTTTGGGGTTTAGGGTTTAGGGTTTAGCTTCCTTTAGAAGCCTAAGGGTTTAGGGTTCAGGGTTTGGGGTTTAGGGTCTAGGGATTCTGCCTCATATAGAAGCCTAAATTTTAGGTTTTAGGGTTCAGGGTTTGGGGTTTAGGGTTTGGGGTTTAAGACTTTGGTTTTAGGGTTTGGGGTGTGCATTCTGCTCAGGCGTCCA